GACAATAATGATTCTGAACGAAATGATCTTAATTCAATTCCTGACGCCTTTTCGTTGAGAACAAGTCATTAGGCAAAGATCCGATTGTCATTTCTCTTAGATATTAGCTGGGGCGTATGAGGTTATCTAGTGCACCACCTTTGTGCCATGCACCCATTTGCAAGTTTCAAATTAGTTTGCCTGCCTGCATCCAGTACACTCAGGGCGTGGGAGGGGAGGGGGGGAGAAGGGTTGAGGAATTCACCTACCTTCGCCAGTTACGAGTTCTCCATCGTTAAAACTGCGCTTCGGTGATAGCTTAGACCTTAGCATTGCCTTGAACTCCTGAACCCCTCGCATAAATGACTTGTTCACGTCTTGTTGCACCTCGTCTCTGTTAAGGTTCAATACCACTTCTGGGTCTGATGACGGCGGTGGAAGCTTGAAAGCATCAAACCCAGGGAAAAAGTTCAAGATGCTCTCTGCTACTTGGTTTGGTTGGTTGCCTTGGAGTGGGTCAGACTTGAAAACCTAGGTGCAACAAATTAACGTCAATTTAATTGCTGTGGTAATGCAGGATGACGCTTTGCAAATGTGAGATTACAATCGATCAATCCGGGTTTTCTATGTTGCATTATGGGGCGAAAAGGATTAAGAGAAAAAAAAACCTATCAGGTCTTCGTAATGAGTACTGTAGCTCAGAATTGTAGACTTTTCCTTCCTCTCTCCGCCATTAAAAATATGGAAAAAATGGAACTCATGCAAAACGATCCTAATTTTGCCTTCATTGCATCATTCAGTACAGTTAAGGGGAAAAGTGGAATTCATGTCCCAAAAATGAAGGATTGCTCTTATTTTCGAGTCTGATATTCAATTTAGCTTTCACTTATCTGAACCCTTAATCATCAGTTACCTTCGAATAAATTGGCGCAAAGTTATCCTTAAAAACAAAATTTATAAACCCACCCTTGTCAGAAAGTAATCCTTGATACTTTGACAGTCCTTTGGAAGAGATAGCACGACATCTCTTAGCAACCAGATGAAGGAGGGGAATGTTTTATGAAACTGATTCGCATCAGCTTGTAGGCTTCCTCCACTGACTGGATCAGTCGTTGGTGTTGACGAATGAAGCTGAATTCGCTGAGAAAGTTTTACGATAAAGCTGTGATGAATGTTAAGGATTCAAGACAAAATGAAAAACTCAATCATTTAACCCAACTTTTGAATTGGGCATACAATACAAAGCTTCGTTTTCAATATTATAATCTAGATTTGTTAGACATTCTGAC